AGCAGGAAATTTCCTATGCTAGGAAGACAACCAGCATATTTTTAATCTTATTAGTAAGTAAGTGATGAGCATTGTGCCATTTTTTTGCTATAAAAGACAATCTTGCTAATTAATATGAAGCAGAAACAGACATTTCAAGAAGAAGACGTCTTTGGTGCCTGTATAGTGATGAAGCTTGCCCTCTGTTCTGTCCAGGCTTCACATCTGCAATTCTGTTGAGGAGGTCTACGCATAAATGTTTGACAGAGGATGTACCTTAGCTTCTCTATGATTAGTTTGGCTTATAGACGGATAATTTGTGGGACTGAGTTGTGTGTGCTTTTGCTTACACCATACTACACTGCCACATGTAATTGTTTTATTTATTGCGTTTTTTTCATTTTTGGAGAGTCCTCTCTAGCTTATCAGCTGGGCCGGTCTGAAGTCGTATTTTATCCCTTTAATGTCTGTATCACTTGTTTAATAAATCAAAACATCTGCATTAAGTGATCATTTTTACTATTCTGCTCTGAACTCTCTCTAGCCGGTCAGTATCTTTGCGTATGCAGGCCTCTGGAATAATTAATAATTTTCTGAAAGCAACCTCTGGAGAACCATATAAAAAGCGATTTGCACATCTATTCTCTGTAAATGTTGATCTTCAGATGCAGCCAAAGCATCACACTGACTATTGAAATGACAAACTCGTCTCTCTCCAGTATATTTCTTCTGGATTGCACACTGCTCTCACTCCTTGTACAAGGGAGTCTGAAAGCATAAAATAACTGTTCTTTGCCAGAAGCCCTTGCACAGCTCAGCTTGTGTCAACTCAGTGAATATAATCAAGAGATTCAGAGGCTGTGAAAAACCACTGAGAAGTGTGGAGGGGAGAGTAGCTGTAGGCATGCAGAAGAGCTGGCTGCCTGTGAAAAATGGAGTGTGAGCATCCCAGGAAAACACCACAGGAAATTATTCAGCGCAGGCTAGGTGCTGCAGCAGGCACTGTGTACCATCATGTCTGCAAGGAGCCCTGCCTTCCCTGCACCCTTGGAGGTAGGACAGAAAATGGTGTTTTTCTCCTCCTTTCACACACCTCTGTCCAAAGTCACATATTTGTTCCTTCACATAAGGCAGTCCCTGCACAAGTGTCGATTTAACAGAAAGCTGTTTCCAGACCTTATTGTAATTAAACAAACACTCCATTACTCTGCTTGTATAAAACATAAGAGAAATCAAATGAAAAAAGCAACCACAGCTGGCCATCAGGAAGCTGTCAAAAATCTTGTCCATCAAGCCAAATACTTTGCTGAGCTCCCAAACACAGTGCTGGGTTGAGTAACATTATTTAGCTCCCTATATCCAGACGTTGTGTGCAAGCCTGCTGGAAAGTGGAGCAGGCTCTAAGACTGCCCTTGCTGGGTCGCTTGCTCTCTGAAGGTTGTTTACTGCCCTCAGTTGTTCAAGAGCATATTTAATTTTGTGGGGGAGTGATTTAATCAGTTCCAGTTTAATTAGTCCTCATCCAGAGTGGGACTTTGTTGTTTTCATTTCTTTCCTGGTATACTGGGTTTGGCTGGAATGAAGCTAACTTTTTTTCACAGCAGTCCTGCGGGGCTGTGTTTTGGGTTTGTAGCTAAAACATGGTTGGTGAGACAGTAGTTCACAGAGTAAGAGAATTATTTGTGTTGGAAGGGATCTTGAAGACCATCTATATCCAGCCCCCCTGCATGGGCAGGGACACCTCCCACTAGATCAGGTTACTCAGGGCCCCATCCAACCTGGTTGTGAACACTTCCACATGGATGGGTAACCTGTTGAAATGCCTTACCACCCTCACACTAAAGAATTTCCTCCTAATGTCTAATCTAAATTTCCTTTCTTCCAGTTTTGATCCATATAGTTTTGTCCTCTCACTACATGCCCTTATAAAAAGGTCCCTCCCCAGCTTTCCTGTAGCCCCTTCAGGTACTAGAAGGCCACTTTGTAAGAGAAGTGCTCCAACCCTCTGATCACCTTTGTGGCCCTTCTCTGGACTCACTCCCAACAGGTCCACATCCTTCTTGTGTTGGGGACTGCAGAACTGGCCACAGGACTCCAGCTGCTGTCTCACAAGAGTGAGTAGGTGGAGAAAATCACCTCCCTTGACCTGCTGGCCATGCTTCTTTGGATACAGCACAGGATACATTTGGCTTTCTGGGCTGCAAGTGCGCACTGCTGGCTCATGTTGAGTTTCTCATCAACCAGCATCCCCAAGTTCTTCTTCTCAGGAATATTGTCAGTTCATTTACCACCCAGCCTGTACTGGTGCCTGGGGTTGCTCTGACCCATGTGCAGGACCTTGCACTTGGCCTTGTTGAACTTCATGAGGTTGAATGAGACCACCTCTCAGGCCTGTAAGGGTTTCTCTGGATGGCATCCCTTCCCTCCAGGGTGTTAACCACATGGTTTGGTGTTGTCAGCAAACTTAGTGAGGGTGCACTCAATTCCACTGTCCATGTCACTGACAAAGATGTTAAACAGCACCAGTCCCAAGAAAGTGAAGGTTTTTTCTTTCATGCTGATCATTGCTCAGAGACCTGTACTTCTTGCCTTTGCATCACTTGTTTTTTGTAGGTTTTCTACTCCCTCCCCACCCTTTTCCTTCACCTGCTCAACTGTCTTTTATCTTGACTCATTAATTTCTTGTATTGGGGTGCATGTGGGTGCTTAGCTGCAGATCTCAACTCACAGCACCTGGTTACATCTGAATCTTTCTGATTACTGAAATATGTCCAACTGTAAACTCATGTGAACTCCAAAGTTCAGCCACCATGTCTGTGAATAGAGGGACAAGAAATTACTAAGACAGCCTTTACCTTGAAATGGTCAATCCTCTCTTCTACCACATGTGAAAATGGAGAAGTGAGACCAAATGTCACTTTTTGTCATTGACGACTTGGGGCACAAAGCTCAGGAATCAGATGTGGTAAGACTGTACTACCATTGACACAAGGAACGAGAATTCCCTTGAAAAAGAATGAGCAATTATTGCCCCTTTCACTATTTGTCACTTTTCTCAGTTTCTCAGTGTCAAATGAAACTGTCTGGAATGACTTTTTCTCCAAACTTTTTACTCTCTTTGGCATTTTTTTGAAGTAGCTCCTGCCTGTATTGGCAAGGAACTAAGTGCCACCAACATGCTGAACAAATGCCACAACTCAACAGTCCTGTTACGCCTCTCT